ACACACACACACACACACACACACACACACACACACACACACTTCCCTCCTCCTATCTCTATATGAAGAATATCCAATACAACATGTGACTGAAAATGAAGCAACCAAGCCAGGATCACCTTAAACATTTGCACTGACCCTCACAAACAGTATCTGCCATTGTTCCTCAGCTTAAAATCCATTGAACTTCACAGCTCATGCATATGTCGAGTGTCTAATATTTTACTGACTCATATCCGGTTGTTTTCCTCTGGCTCTGTTCCTCTCAAAGTAATTATGCTTCCAAATAGAACAGCTATGAAGAAAGAATTATTGTGGCTCTCATGCTGTGCTGGAGCTCACGGTGCATTTTATGAGAGGCTATAAGAGAGTGGTTAACCTCCAAGGACTTTTTCTTTGCGAATTCCTTATTTCTTTGTGCAAGGACAGTACAGCGGAACAGCAGGCTTAAAGGCTTTGATGTTCACAATGCGGAAGTGTTTGCCCTGCTGGAGGAAGACAAGAGGAGAATTTTCAGCCAATTTTTTTTCTGAGCAGCTTTCCCTCACCTTGGATTTCAGCCCTTATCCACCCCAGCCAGCATGGCCAGTAGTTGGAAAGGCCAAGAGTTTTAGTCTCAAGAACTGGACTCATCAGGTGGGGGAAGGATGCTTGACTTTCATTATGGGAAATGCCATTGAAACCACCGATTTCACCACTCCTTTTATTTCCCTTCCCTTATCCGTCATTAGCCTTATGTTTTTCTTCAATTGTTAGCCCTTTAGCTTAGGGACTCTGTTCTTTATGTGGCATTACTTGGGTGGTGTCAGCTGTCCCTGTGCATGCGTATCATGTGTGTGTAGGAGAGACACAGTCATGAGTTACCTTTCTAGCTTTTATCTTGAAAACCCTACCTTCTTCATACAGGGAGACTTCTTCTCTTAAATTTGGAAGGTCACATGGGGCATTGAAAACACGTGTGGTTTGGGGGAACAGTAAAGATACCTGAACCTTAAGATACCTGAACCAGAAAGATACCTGAACCAGAAAGATACCTGAACCAGAAAACTATGGCTTTGCCTGTATTTGGGGATAGTATTCCGAGCCACAGAGGATTCTCTCCAGAGAGTGAAGGGATAGCAAGATATAATCCCTCCATGTAGACAAGGATGACTTCTATGCATTTCATCAAGCATAGTTACATTATGATGACTGTTTAGTTTCAATAAGCATTTTCAGTGTAGGCTATCTTGAATTCTTTTTGATCTGTTATTAGTGCTTCATTTTAGCAGCCTTCAGTATAGGTCAGTATGGAAAGGAAGAATATAAATAACCAAATAAATGAAAAGCTAAAGAATTGTTCTTTGTTGTTACTGACAGGAAGGGAAGGATATTGTAGCTACAATGGTCTGTTAGTGATCCATTTCCCACATGTCAACAACCCATATTTTGTTTAAATCATGGTTCATTGTCAAGGATGCCCTGAGCATGCTTTTTCTCACCACCTGTCTGCTCCCGCTGTAAGTGGGAAGAACTAAACAACTTAGGAATGACCCATCCCTGGCTTGTTGTCCATGAAGTGTGAAATAGGCATTATGGGATGTTGAGAGAGGGATGACCCAGTGTTGGAACACATGGTGATCAAATAGCAAGAACCAGAACACTTGCTAAGTTTTCACTGTGTTAGATCAATCCACACTTGAAATAAAC